CGGCAGCGGCGGCTGCGGCGGTGGCGGCGGCAGCGACGGCGGCGGCGGTAGCAGCCTGCGCGGTGCCTTCTGGGAACGGAATCCCCAGGGCTGCCCCTGGCCCCCATGGCGCATGCGCGGGAGGCCGCTCGGTGATCCGCGGCGGCGGCAGCGGCGCTTCCTGCTAGGACCGGCCGGGGCCGTACCGGAGGCTCGGGCTGTCCTCTCGGCCCCTTTCCCTGGCCCCATCCCCATTCCCCCGCCCTCACCTGCCCCCACCGTTTTTCCCTCTCACTGCTTGACTTTTGCCTTCTTCACCTCCTTCCCCTCAGTGCTTCGCCCACCCTCCGCCCGCCCTCTCCCCAAGTTCCTTCCTACTTCGTGCGCCTTCCCCTCCTCCCCAAGCCGAGGGAAGCAGGCTGGGTGACAGGCGCCTTGTTATGAGAGGGAAAGTTTAGAAGCCGCCAGTGTGGGGTGGGAGCGATGGTAAGGTTGGAGAGGATACTTGCAGGTTTGGGGGGCGTCCCCATGTACATCAGAGGAGAATTCTTCTTGGAGGTAATCTGAAGCCAGTGGGACAGGAGGTGCTGAATCCCCTTGCCTTAGGCTTGGGGGAAAATTGGGAGTTTCTGAGAATCGTGGGAGAAGACCCAAATGAACTAGATCAGTGATTGTCTAGTGGAGCCAGGCATGGGGGGAGTTATGCTGGTACCACCCCAGCGGGCAGTTGGGCAATTGCCTGGTGACCTGTGGGGCAATCTACTTTTTATATGATCTTCCTGAGGGGGAGGGAACAGCAGGGGCCAGACTCTCTGGGAAACTTCTTAGTGGCCTGGTATTATAGGAATTAGCCCACACTCTTGGCTGAAGGTTTCTCTCCTTGGTGGGACAAAGGGGCCTTACCCTTTATATGCCTAGGGATTGGGCTGTGATTCCTTGGTCCCTGGAAGCTGAGGCTTTGACCCTCTGGTCCCTAGGGACTGGACATGGAAAGGATGGTTGTGGACTCAGCCAGCAGATCCCTGAGATCTTTATGGGTACTTACCTCATGTTATTAAGGATCTTTCCCTTGAGAGTTTCCTGGGCTGTGGTACTTTCCTAGCTTGGGCAGATTCCTGACAGTTCCTCCTCTCTTCTGTGTTGCAGGTGTGGGCTAAGCCGGCGGCCCCGGCTTTAGACTGGACCCCACAATGTTTGCAGAGATGTTCAGGTAGCCATGGTGGGATGGCAGAGGGTTCCCCCTCATTCTCTCTCCTAGCTCTCCGAGGGTTTCCCCTTGCCTCCGAGTCCTCTTGAGTCTCCCCACACCTTTGCTTTTCTTAAGTACTCCCTCAGGTACCCAGCCCAGTTTAATCTTCCTAATGCCACATGGATGTCTGTGTTATCAGGCACGTGGGAGCTGATTACACACAATGAATGGGGGCAATGAGAGCAGTGGAGCAGACAGAGCTGGGGGCCCTGTGGCCACATCTGTCCCCATCGGCTGGCAGCGCTGTGTTCGAGAGGGTGCTGTGCTCTATATCAGGTATGACTCCCCAAAATTCCCCAGTTTCTATCCCCAGGCCCTTCAATTGCTTGAGTTTTCTCCCATCCCTCCTCTCAAAGCCCAGATTGCTGGTGCCCTGTTGCTCTCCTCTGTTCCTCCTCCTTCCTCAGCCTTCTTGCTCTCTTTGTTCCTGGCCCTTTGAATTTGTTCTCTCTGTCTCTTCCTTACTCTGCCCTTCCTAGGAAGGTCTTTGACTAATGAACTGTTCTTTAAGAGTCTCTCCCAATTCAGTGTCAACTAATCCCATACTCTCTGACCCTGTCCTCTCCCAGCCCAAGTGGCACAGAGCTGTCTTCCTTGGAGCAAACCCGGAGCTACCTCCTCAGCGATGGGACCTGCAAGTGCGGTCTGGAGTGTCCACTCAATGTCCCCAAGGTCAGAGTGGTGAGGGGATCCAGAGAGTACAGGGATAAGCGGAGAGACTTAATGCAAATCACTGACTGTGGTAGCTCTTCTCACAGATTCTGTTCCCTCAGGGTCCCTGTCCATGCTTCCACCTTGCAGGTTTTCAACTTTGACCCTTTGGCCCCGGTGACCCCGGGTGGGGCTGGGGTGGGGCCCGCATCAGAGGAGGACATGACCAAGCTGTGCAACCACCGGCGGAAAGCCGTTGCCATGGCAACTCTGTACCGCAGCATGGAGACCACCTGCTCACACTCTTCTCCTGGTGAATCTTTTCCACTTTATAGAGACTGAGGAAAACTTAAGGGCCTGGAAGAGGGATGGTGGGAGGAGCTTTGTGAGAGGGAAGCAAGGAGAAGGGTGGAGTGGGGAGCTGCTTGGTGAGAGGAGGGTACAGGGAAGCTGGGAATTTATGGGAGAAGGGATGGAGAAGACAAAAGAAAGTTCTTGGAAGGGGAGCCACAAGTTGATTCTTTGTTTCTCGTTTATTGCAGGAGAGGGAGCGAGCCCCCAAATGTTCCACACTGTGTCCCCAGGGCCTCCCTCTGCCCGCCCTCCCTGTCGAGTTCCTCCTACAACTCCGCTTAATGGGGCTCCTGGCTCCCTTCCCCCAGAACCACCTTCAGTTCCACAGGCTTTCCCCCCTCTAGCAGGCCCTGGGGGGCTCTTCCCACAGCCAAGGCTTCCTGACCCAGTCCCCTCTGGAGGTAGCAGCAGCCCTTGTTTCCTGCCAAGGGGCAATGCCCCCTCTCCAGCTCCACCTCCTCCACCTGCTATCAGCCTCAATGCCCCCTCATATAGCTGGGGAGCTGCTCTCCGATCCAGCCTGGTGCCCCCTGACTTGGGCTCTCCTCCAGCCCCCCATGCCTCCTCCTCACCACCTTCTGACCCTCCTCTCTTCCACTGTAGTGATGCCTTAACACCCCCTCCCCTGCCCCCAAGCAATAATCTCCCTGGTCCCCCTGGCCCCCCTGGTCCTGCCACTCAGCCACCAGTGTCTTCAGCCACTATGCACCTGCCCCTGGTCCTGGGGCCCCTAGGAGGGGCCCCCACGGTGGAGGGGCCCGGGGCACCCCCCTTCCTTGCTAGCAGCCTACTCTCTGCAGCGGCCAAGGCACAGCACCCCCCTCCCCCCCATCCCAGCACTTTACAGGGCCGAAGGCCCCGTGCCCAGGCGCCCTCAGCTTCCCACTCCTCATCATCACCCCGCCCCTCTCAGCGTCGTCCCCGCCGCCCCCCAACTGTACTGCGATTGCTAGAAGGGGGAGGCCCTCAAGCCCCTAGACGGAGCCGCCCTCGGGCCCCCGCTCCCGCCCCACAACCTTTTCATCTCCCTGAGCCCTCCCAACCGATTCTCCCTTCTGTGCTGTCCCTGCTGGGACTCCCCACCCCTGGCCCTCCCCACTCTGATGGAAGCTTTAACCTTTTGGGGTCAGACGCACACCTTCCTCCTCCCCCAACCCTCTCCTCAGGGAGCCCTCCCCAGCCCAGGCACCCCATCCCGCCCTCCCTGCCTGGGACCACCAGTGGCAGCCTCAGCAGTGTGCCAGGTATGTGAGTGTGATGGAGCCCTTCCTCCCTTCGGGTGGAGAGAGACAGCCAAGGCATTTACGGAGAATTGAGAGAGCTCTGTGGTGGTTTTCTGGGTTGGGGGCAGGGAGGTTGGATTCTTTGGACGCTGGGAGGAAGGACCTCCCTTGAGCTGAACCTCTCTTTTTTCTTTGCAGGTCCCCCTGCCCCACCAGCTGCCTCCAAAGCCCCCCTAGTCCCTAGCCCTGTGCTTCAAAGCCCATCCGAAGCGCTCGGGATGGGGTCGGGCCCAGCCTGCCCTCTGCCTCCCCTGGCTGGTGGGGAGGCTTTCCCGTTCCCCAGCCCCGAGCAGGGCCTGGCACTGAGTGGAGCCGGCTTCCCTGGGATGCTAGGGACCTTGCCTCTCCCTCTGAGTCTGGGGCAACCTCCGCCTTCTCCATTGCTCAGCCACAGTTTATTTGGCGTGCTGGCTGGGGGAGGGGGACAACCTCCCCCGGAGCCCCTGCTGCCCCCACCAGGGGGACCTGGCCCTCCCCTAGCCCCAGGCGAGCCCGAAGGGCCTTCGCTTTTGGTGGCTTCCCTGCTTCCACCACCCCCCTCAGACCTTCTTCCACCCCCTTCCGCACCCCCTAGCAACCTCCTTGCCTCCTTCCTGCCCCTGTTGGCCCTGGGCCCCACAGCTGGGGATGGAGAGGGATCTGCAGAGGGAGCCGGGGGTCCGAGTGGGGAGACATTTTCAGGTTTGGGAGACCTGCCCCCCTTGCTGTTCCCCCCACTTTCAGCTCCCCCCACCCTCATAGCTTTAAATTCTGCGCTGCTGGCTGCCAGCCTGGATCCCCCGTCGGGGGCGCCCCCCCAGGTGAGGATGAGGGTGAGTGGGTGGGACAGAACCAGAGGTAGAATCAGAGATAGGAGCTGGGAATCAAAGGCTTTCAGTTTCATGTCTGAGCTCTTCCTCAGGGTCTTTGGGGATGGCTTAATTCTTGGCTGGGGGTAGGATGGCTGCAACAGCTGGGTCTGTATTTAATAAACATGGCCTACTTCATGTGAGGCTTCAGTGGGATTGTACATATGAAAGTACTCTAAACTTATTGAATACTTTACACATGTAAATGTAATAACTATTCTTTCTCCTTAGCCCTGTGTCCTGAGTGCCCCCCAACCTGGACCACCTACCTCCAGTGTCACCACGGCAACTACTGACCCGGGGGCCTCCTCTCTGGGCAAGGCCCCCTCCAACTCAGGGAGACCCCCCCAACTCCTTAGCCCTCTGCTGAGTGCCAGCCTGCTGGGTGAGTCTGAGGGAAGACTCTGGTGTGGGAGAGAAGAAAGGAAGCAGAAAAATTGAGAGTAGAGGCTGGTTGAATTAGGGAAGAAAGTCTCTGACCACTGGGTAAAGCCTAAAAGAATAATAGGGTCTGCTCACCCTAGCTGGTTGGCCTAGGGAGACCCTTGACTTTACAATTCCTCAACAGGTGACCTGTCTTCGCTGACCAGCAGCCCTGGAACCCTCCCCAGTCTGCTGCAGCCTCCTGGCCCTCTTCTCTCTGGCCAGTTGGGGCTGCAGCTCCTCCCTGTGGGGGGAGCTCCTCCACCCCTCTCAGAGGCTTCTAGTCCCCTAGCCTGCCTGCTACAGAGTCTCCAGGTGAGGGTGTGGGTGTGGGTGTGTTTGTTAGGGAGAGAAGTTTTTCCCAAACTGGAAGTATAGACATGTTGAGTTACAGTAGCAGAGGGACTGCATTTGAGACTGACTGAGATTTTGTTTTGTCTGCAGATCCCTCCAGAGCAGCCAGAAGCCCCCTGTCTGCCCCCTGAGAGCCCCACCTCAGCCCTTGAACCGGAGCCTGCCCGGCCTCCCCTCAGTGCCTTAGCCCCACCCCACGGTTCTCCCGACCCCCCAGTCCCTGAGCTGCTCACTGGGAGGGGGTCAGGGAAACGGGGCCGGAGGGGAGGAGGGGGACTTAGGGGCATTAATGGTGAGGCCAGGCCAGGCCGGGGCCGAAAGCCTGGCAGCCGGCGGGAGCCTGGCCGACTGGCCCTCAAGTGGGGGGCACGTGGTGGCTTCAATGGACAAATGGAACGGTCCCCAAGAAGGACCCACCACTGGCAGCATAATGGGGAGCTGGCTGAAGGGGGTGCTGAGCCCAAGGATCCATCCCCTTCTGGGCCCCATTCTGAGGACCTTAAGGTGAGTGCAGAGTGATGGTGGTCTGGGCACAAAGACTCTGAGGAAAGGTTGAGGCCAAGGCGCCTTCTCCTAACTTTTCCTACACACACAGTCTGTCTTTTCTCAGGTGCCCCCAGGGGTAGTCAGAAAGTCTCGTCGTGGCCGGAGGAGAAAATACAAGTGAGTATTGGGCCCACCACAATACCGGCCTTTCCCCACATCTTCTTGGGTTTATAGAAATAGCTCAAGAGTGACTTGGCTTTCAAAAAGGCAGATACTTGCTTGAATATGAATAAGGATATTACGCCTTTACTATCCAAATGTAGAAAGTTTCCCACCCAAACTCTGAAATTCACCTGGTGCTTGGGGAGGTGTTCCTGATCATCTGTGCCCCTTATTGCAGCCCTACCCGGAACAGCAACAGCTCCCGCCAAGACGTTACCTTGGACCCCAGCCCCACAACCCGCGTAAGTGTGCGTCCCTGTGTGAGTGGGTGCGAGTGCGTGTATGGGGTGAGGCAGGAGGAGGTCAGTGGGAGTGGGGAGAAAATAAAGGACTTCCTGACACCTAGCTGTTTGATCACTTCTTTCAACTTCCCCTCTTGTATAGGCGGCTGTCCCTCTGCCTCCCCGGGCCCGCCCTGGCCGTCCTGCCAAAAACAAGAGGAGGAAACTGGCCCCATAGCAGCCATACCTGGAGCTGGATCTGACCCTGACTGGGGAGAGCTGAGTGCTGAGCCTTGGGAGCCCCTGCCAGCCACGTGCACCTGTGGACAGTGGGTGGGGGCACTACTCCCCACTCAGAGCACAAATGCAACCCCTTCCCCACAATCCCATCCTGAGCCATTGCAGGGGGTAGGGAGGTCACCCCCTCCCCCCCAAAGCCATGTCACTGAAAAGGCCTGGGGGGGGTATATGGCCCTCTCCCCACCAGGCTAAGGGGAACACCCCTTTCCCCAGGTCTTTTATTTGTTTAAGTTATTTTTGCACAAATGACTCTTTTATATTTAATTCGACTTCATTGCCTCCCTTCTCGAAGCCAGCAGGCTCAGTTTACAAACCTGTGAGCTACTGTTGGCTGCTGCCCTCCTTCCCAGTGAAAGGTACAAAGCAATAAGCATCATGCACCCTCCCCTCACCCCTACAACACCCCTCTGCCTCTGGCTCAGGTTGCTCAAAGCACAGATCCCTCCTTACCCCTGTCCCCAGGTTTGAAACACATAGCCTCATTTCAAGGTGTAGCCAGCTTCCCTCTACTTTCCTCTGGGATATAAAAAGGGGGTAAGGGGGCAAAGAGAGCCATCTGGGTCTCTCCTCCCATACACACTACACTGCCCCTTCTCCCCCCATCAAAACGCTCAGAGACGTTGTGATGATGCGACTGAGGATTATGCAACGTGGTCCAACCGGAGCGGCCAGCATGACCAGCTGTCCAGGGGCTGCCTCCTGCCTTTTCTTTTGTAAAGACAAGACCTTTGGGAGTTTTAATTCTGTTTTGTACTTGCCCTTTGGGGCCTCCACTGCTTTTCTATGGGAGACACTCTTAATTTAACAGATGAGAATATTTTGAAACTCTGGCTCTGACTCTGTCCTCATTTTTTCCTTAGTTCTTTTGTAAGAACAGGTTACAATTTAAATCCTTCTTTTGTAGTAGAGAGTGGCTTAGACTGTCTATTACACTGTGAATGTCTATCTCTCTAGTGCTGCCTCTTCCCCAGGAAACAGCAGAGGCCACACAGAGTACAACAGCATTTAATGGTCAGAAACAGTTGTACAGTATTACAGTCAGTCACAGAAGCTGTGCTGGAGGACAGGATCCAATCCTTCCCCACACCAGGCAAAGCAGTATTGGACAGGAGCTGGCATGTGGCTGGGCCCACGTCCTCATCCCCGTGGCCTGAGGGGAGACCACCATCTAATATCCCCCAGGTTCCACTACTCTTCAGAGGAGGGGTGTAAGCCCCACATGCAAGAAGAACCCCTTGCCCCCAGTGTCAGATGGGATGTGAGAGTTATGATTAAGGGGAAACCCTGTGTAAGGTGTTAACGGAGTTCAAAGGGGTAGGGATTACCCCTGTTCTCCATCTCCCAAAGGTGCTCATTTTCCCAGTTTCTTCATCCGTTCATCAATGTTGGCAAAGTTCCGCTCAACTGTGGACAGGTTATCACGCATTGTTGTCTGCACCTAGAAAAGTGACAGAGCTATTTTACTCTTTGTCAGGTTCGGGTGCTTACCTGAATGAGGACCTGAAGAAATTCTCTTACAGAAGGCAAAAAAGATATGGAGGGGGATTCTCTGGTGGTCCAGTGGTTAGGACTCAGCACTTTCACTGCCAGGGCCTGGGTTTGATCCCTGGTTGGGGAACTAAGATCCCACAAGCCACGCGGCGTGGCCAAATTAAAAAAAAAAAAAAGAAACGGAAACAAGTTGATGGGCCCCAGAGCGGGAAGGTTATTGCACCAGTTTCCAGGCTGCCCTGGAATACCGTGGACCTGGCACAGGGTCTGCCAAGCAGGCAGGCTTCTTAAGAATTCCCATCCTGACTTTAACCAGAACAGCTCTTTTATCTGTTTTATGTAATGAGGAACAAGTAAGATTTTGTTGACATGAGGGTTTCACAGGTCCAGTTTTAGAAAACTGCTCTGGAGGAAGAACATATACCAAGCACTTTAATTTATCTTGATGGTCCTATGATACAAGACAACTTTAGTGCTTCTCCCACCTCTGAGAACAGTGCCCCCAACAGAAACGGAGGACTCGCTATGTGCTGGGCACTGCTAAGAGAATGAAGGAAGAGGCGAGGCTCACTGCCCAGCATCAGGAAGGAAGTGGCAGAATCAGGTGGGAGCCCAGCTCCTGATTTCAAAGCCCATGTTCCATCCGACGTGCTGTGCTCAGAAGCATCTGGTTGAGGACCCAGGGAGGGTAAAACTGAGCTGTGACTACAGAGTGAAGGGGTAGGTTTTATAGGAAAAACTGAGGTTTACTGAACTCTTAACAATTCACTCACATTATTTCACCTAATCCATACAACTCTGAGGTAGGTATAATTTTCCAGATGGTAAGATGGAGGTTCACAGATTAAATAAGTTGTCAAAACGTCCCACAACCATTGAGAAACAGTATGGTGACTCAAACCAAGCCCCTGCCATACCACCATGCCACCAAATGGGCTAAGGCAGAACCCTATGGAGATGAAGCTGGAGAACCTAGCCTGTGTGTGCTGGGGAAGGGAAGTAGCCGACCAATAAAGGGGCACACACCTGGGTCAAGAGAGTGGCGCTGTCCTTGAGGGAACAAGCGATCATCTGCTGTGTGGTATCCAAGTGTGTCATAAGCTGACCAAACTGCACGGCTATGAAAGAAGGTCAGAACGGTATGTGTGGCGTTAGAATCCAAGACCAGGGGGAAGGGAACAAAAGCTGCCCACTCTCTAATTCCTCTTAGCACCCCTGGCAGCTGGCCTCCCACCTTGTTCATGCAGCTGCCTGATGGTGACAAGTCTCTGCACCAGCTCAGGAAGGGTGGAGGCGAGGGGGCTCCAGCGCTGTATGGTTTCATACAGCTGGTGCACCTGGACGGACAAGACAGTGGCCAACCTTCAGCGAAGTACACACTGACCATTGAGTAGGGTGGGAAAGGTCAACTTGGTGGGGCAAGAGGGAAGCGCTGCCTTTTCTCAGCTATGAAGAGCATAAGAAGACAGGGACCTGAGGATTCAGTGCTCTCATGCTCTGCTCTTAACCACCAGAAGAGTACATAAGGGAGCAGGAAAGGGCATGAACATGGAGGAAAGGGAACTTCCTGACCTTGCTTTGTGCATCCGCATCCTCTACAGAAGCTTTATGCTTGGCAATCTCATTCACTTTTCCCAGGACACTCTGAAAGCACAGGTTTTAAGGTTGATAGGGCATCTAGGGCTTCCAGAGTCCCAAGCTACCTGTAATCCAATTTGCCCCCCACTTAATACCTGTAGCCGAGCCTCTACTTGGTCCAGAACTGCAAGGTCCAGGGCGCTCACCTTTGCTTGCAACAGCTCTACAGTCTCCTGGGGGCGGGGGTTAGGACAAGCTTCATGAAGGGGAAGAATCAGACTAGAAAAGGCCACCCCATATTCCACTGGAGGTAATTAATAAATAGCTACAGATCCAAAACCAATGTTCCATGCAAACCCAATCCTGATATCCCCTCTGTAATCCAAACACTCCAGTTCCTTTTACACTCACCATAAGGCAGGCTCCCTGCAGACCTGCAGAAAGGGGATTCTGATGGGGAAAAGCAGGAAAGAAGTCAGTGGTTCTTATCTCTCCATGCGATTACCACCTTCTCCCATCCTTTCTGGTTCTAGTGGGCAACCCCTAGCTGATCCTGTAACTGGAGCCCTTTCCTGACTCCTCCCAGGATTCTGTGGAATGCTGTGGACCTCAGGGCTCAGAGCGCAGGATATGCGGGTTAGACTAAGTATAGGAGAGCACCTGACCTGAGCATCCTGATCACAGCGTACAGCTGCTTCCAGCTCCGCCAGGCGCTTCTCGAGTTCTGCCACCTAGGGGGAGGAAGGAGGGGAGATTTGCCATCCACCTCCCTGCTGCTGCAGTGGGAGGTAAGATCCTGCTCTTTGCTTGTCTGCTTACCACTCCCCTACCCTCTCCCCACCGCTCTGCCAGGGGACTTCTTTCCCTGGAACACATCCCTAGTCAAAGTCTTCACTGAAAGTAGACGGTGAGGCAAACACGGAGAATGAGACATCAAGAGGAATCAAGCATTCCCAGCACCCTCTCCCCAGATGTGATCCCTTGGAGGGAGGCAGGAAAGTCTCTAGAGCCACATCTCCCTGGCCCCTCAACCAACATTACATACATACATACATATATACATACATACACACATACACACATACATACTTTGGCAGCTTGAGAGAACTTGTCCTGCTCAGGCCGGGAATGTAGCTCGTAAGTGACAAGGCTGCTATCTGGGGGTGTCCCACTAGTGGTCTTTCCCCCCGAACCAGTCCCTTTGCTGTTCTTTGTTGCTTCCAGCTGCAGCAGTAGGCGCCTAGGTCAGGAAACCAGAAACAATATCATGACCTGAAGGATATGGGTCAGCCCAGTCACTCTCGTTTCTGCCTCACAGTCAGCATTAAGGAACAGCTAGGCCACTTCTCCCCTTCGTATCCCTGTCAGTACCCGGCTGAGTCCCTCTACACCCCAGTCACCAATGATTTCCCAACGAAGTCTGGCACCTACTTAGCCAGAGCTCCATCGGGGTCAGTAAGGTTGATTGCGGCATCTGGTCCCAGCAGCTTCTCCAGATGGGAAGCAACCAGCTGCTGCTTCAGGGCTGCCAGCTGTTTGGCCAGCACCACAGGGGTCAGCTTCTCCTCAGTGGCTGACTCCTTCACTGTCGTCTGGTATGAAAACAAACAGACAGTGAGGGGTGGCAAGAGTGAGTCAAGGGAAAAAATAGATCAAGACCCTTAAAAATAGCTGTGGCTGAGGACTTCCCTGGTGGCACAATGGTTAAGAATCCGCCTGCCAATGCAGGGGATCCAGGTTCGAACCCTGGTCCAGGAAGATCCCACATGTCGCGGAGCAACTAAGCCCATGTACCACAACTACTGAGCCTGTGCTCTAGAGCCCATGAGCCACAACTACTGAGCCCGTGTGCCACAACTACTGAAGCCT